CTTCTGTGGTCTTCCTTATTCATTGTCCAACTTCCACATGCTTCCAAAGCAATTGAATTTACCTTAAAGGTCAGCCACAATTTAGTCTTCAGATTGAGATCTTTGCTGTTTAACATGTTAAAGAGGTCATTTGCAGCAGATTAGACCAATGCAATACATCATTTAATTGCTTAACTGCTGCTTCTATGAGCAATGATTGTGGATCCGAGTAAAATTGAATCTTTGACAAATTCAATCTTCTCTCTGTTTATCATGATGTTACCTACAAGTCCACTTGAGAGAAGTTTTGTTTTCTATACTTTAAGGAGCAATCCGTACTGAAGGCTGTAGTCTTTGATCTTCATCAGCAGGTGTTTTGAGTCTTCACATTTAGCAAGCAAGGTTCTGTCATCTGCATATTGTAGGTTGTTAAATGAGCCTTGGTCCCCTCCTGATGCCACACTCTTCTTCATATAATGTAGTTTCTTGGATTATTTCCTCAGCATACATATTGAATAAATATGGTGAAATGATACAACTTTGATGCACAGCTTTCCTAATTTTAAACCAGAGTGTCCCTGTGTTCTACTAGAATAACTGCCTGGTCATCTATATACAGGTTCCACATGAGCACAATTCAGTGTTCTGGAATTCTCGTTCTTTACAGTGTTATACACACTTTGTTATGATCCACATAGTCAAATGCCTCTGCTTAGACAATAAAATATGAGTACCTATCTCTCCCACCACACATCTGTCAGTTTTTTGTACTGTGGGGGCTTGTGAGTTGCTGTGATTCTGGAAGTTATGCCACCAATATTTTAAATACCAGCAGGGTCATCCATGAGCTAGTATTCAGATGAGCTTCCAGGTGAAGAGAGACTAGGAAGTAGGAGTGACTAACTACTTCCGAATATTTAGTCACAAAGAACCTTATGAATAGCAGAGAAATACTGTCAGATATAGTGCTGGAAAATGAGCCCCTCAGGTTGGGAGGCACTCAAAATGCCACTGGGTAAGAGCTGCCTCCTCAAAGTAGAATTGACCATAATGATGCAAATGGAGTAAAGCC